CTGGTCGAGCCATCACTCGGTGCAGACCCGCCAAGGCATTTCCAGTTTATAGAAAATCAAAAAGGAATTTCTACTTTCTTGAAAATTATTTATGGAAATTCAAGGATGATTTTCCAGATTGTTAGAAATTCGATGTTCTATAACCTGAAAAATCCTCGGGGAATTCCCATAGGTACTCTTTGAAATTCGCCGAGCATTTTCCATAAATAATTTCCAAGCTTACAGTGTAGCAATACAAATGGAAACAGTTAGTGAATATAATGATAAAATGACATAAAAATAGAACAACGAAAATAGAATGACAGAGGTAGACAGGCCTGGGGGTGGAGGGAGTATGGGCGTCGTAAGCGAAAACGAGTAATACTGTACTGCCGTTAAATCTGTTCGTTTGTTGAATATATGTAATGATCGCACCTAGTAAACATATTAGCGGATCATTATCTAAATTTAAGCTGTTCGGTAGTAAAGTGTCCATTGTAAATGTATTCAAAAAGAAAGTTGCTGCATAAGGTGTTGTCTTTCAACATTATACAATCTACAATGGAAAAAACAGTGGTCAGTGTCTTCCCTATCATATCCGCAGCTATATTTAGGCGAATCAACACATTTGCATCGATAGAGATAGTAGTTTAGTGGCGGTAAATTTGATTTAATACGCATAAATATGATTTTGTCACGTTGCGTAGGGAACTTGAGTCGCTTAGGAAAAACTCGCGTAGATACATATATTCCGCTTTTAAAGCGTCACGCATTTTTGGTATTTTCATATTTGAGAAAGTTGCATCCTTCCGTAAAAGATCATTCCACTCCCGCGCTACAACAGTAAAAAGATCTTTATCCATCCCATTTACCGCCTCAATAATAGAGATCTGATTTCTGCGTAAACTGTACCAAATATTGGATTAACAAGTTTGTAAATGTAAAGTTAAATAAAGAGACGCTAAATCTTTTGTGATTTTAGAGAAACTTAATAATCGAAGAATTTTGTGATGATTTTTTATAGAAACCCATCCTAATATTTCGAGTAGTTTTTCTTTAGAGATGCCTTTGACATCTTCTAAAATAGCTAGCGCCGCATGATACTGCAAACTCTCTCACTTATATAAGTTGGTTTCTGTAGTTACTGAATAAATTACTAGTAGTTAAGAACCATTCTTGTATTTTTTTCAGATCCCTATTCATGGTTTGTGCACAAATAGTTGAATCTTTATGATGATTTAAAAGAGTAACATCATCGGCAAATAACTTCACTACGCCCGTTTATTTTGTCAGTTCAGAATATATAAATAAGAGACAAAAGATGAAGAGATTTCATTTCCATCTTAAACATAAAATTATACAAAAAGCTACGGCAATTTTTATTTTTACTTTTATTTTGATTATTATTTTTTCTGTATATTCAAAGTAAATATTTGGTTTTGTTTTCTATTGATATTTGGTATGGCTAAAAGTGCTGTTGAGGGAATGAAAAAAAATTCGAGATGATGTGTCATATCAGTTGCCAGAAAAATATGATACGATTCAAAGATGGTTTAGTCAAAGATGATTTAGGTAATAAAACAACGAAAAATGAATTTTGTTTAATAGTTTTCGTGAAAATTATGAATTTTTTAAAGAGGAAAATAAAAATGTTAATTTAAGTCGTTCTTCTTTTGCTGAATTAAGACCTCCGTTTGTCGTTTCAAAGGCTGTTTTGGCTCATCAAATTTGTGTTTGTTTATTTATACCACGAAAATGTTCATCTTCTTTTAAGACCATTGGATAAATATGTTAAAGGCGGAACTTGTAGTTCATTGCAAAATTTTACAGATTCTTTAGTGTGTAATTCATCTAATGAGGAATGTATGTTTATTTGTTGTCCATTGTGTGACGAAAACTTTAAAGAAAATGTTGAAGATAAGTTATCGGATGGTAATGCTCGAATTACGTGGTTTCAATGAGTCATGTTTATATTAAACGAGAATAATCAAAATATTTTGAAAAAATGAAGTTCAAGGTTAGTGATGAGAGTGTTCTGATTCAAGTTGACTTTGCTGAAAATTTTGGTATGATAGTACAAGATGAAACTCAGCTTGCATACCTGCTCAGCTTACAAAAACGTCGATGTTTACAGCTTATGTTTGGTCTAAAAGTCAGGAGTTTTCGTTTGCTTTATCGGCGAATAATGTTAGTCATGATAAATTCGATGTTAATTCAGCACTTGAAATAATTTTTGTTCAGCTTAAAACATTTCTTCCTAATCTGAAGGCGATTCAGTTCTTTTCAGATGGAACAGCACGTTGGTTCAAACAACAGTTTATGCTTCGTAATCTTGTTCAGTTAGCTCGTGATTATTCAATTAATTTGAGTTGGAACGTTTTTTGTAAATCGGCAGAAGACTTTGTTCGTATCGCAAAACAAAACAAAAAAATTCTTATTGAAATTACGAAAAATAGAATTGATGCATCGAAACATAAGTTGGAAAATATATTTCAAGTAGCAAAGGCAGTATCAGAGATTCTGAAAACACATTTTGTTCAAGCTATCGATAACAGCACTATCGAATGTAAATATAAAGTGGCCAGTAAAAGTTTAGAATTACTTTTATTTTTGAATTTTCTCGTGAACTAAAGTAGCTAGAACAAATCCGAGAACAGATTTATGTAGAGAACACCTGAGAGTATCTAAGCATGTAAGAAGAAAAATTTTCATTTAACTAAGCAGGTTTAAAAAAGATAAAATTTTAAAAATTTAAAAGCCTTAAATTTTCAAGTTTTTTAAAGTCAGTTAAAAGTCATTTTTGATCATTCAGCAAAATAGAGCAGATTTTTTTCGTCAAAACGAGACGTTGTAGGACTCGATGCGACCTTTCTTCAACGAATTCTGAATTTTTCTCGTAATGCACCATACCGAAAAATCCTAGCAGATCGTTAAAAAAGTGCATTTTTCAGTATAAAAAAAGACGTTAGCGCATTCTGAAAAAAATTCAGAACTCGTTGAAAAAAGGTCGAAAATTTGTCTTCTTACATGCTTAGATACTCTAAGGTGTTCTCTACATAAATCTGTTCTCGGATTTACTCTAGCTACTTTAGTTCATGAGAAAATTCAAAAATAAAAGTGATCCTAAACTTTTGTCCGCTACTTTAATTCCTCAAGTACTCAAAAAAAGATAATTAAAAGTTGCGATATTTTTGTTTATTAGACTTTGTTTCTTTCTACATGTATGTTGTGAGAAAGAAAGAGAAAAAAAAAGAAAGAGAAAAAAACCGTAGGAAAAAAAAATACACCAGAAATACAACATTCGAAAAAGATCTTTAAAAAACTACTCCGCTCAAAGGAGGTCGGGTCTTCGTCCCGAGCTGAAGAAACACCAGGATTTGAGATAGCATGACCTCTAACTCTAGTGGCTAAGTGCCTCCGAGTAGGTTTTCAATGAATAGAAGTAGATTACTTAACTTCAGTAGAGAATTATGAGTCTGATCCAGGCTTAAGGGTTCGGTCAAGATGCACAACACGATCTTCAATGGTTGAAGCCGTAGAATGCCTCTCTGGAAGTCAAAAAAATCGATTCAGACGAATTTATACTGTAGTACAAGAGCAAAATACCAGAAGAAAAAAAGTGTGTCATGCCGTTACGAAAAATGTCACGGCGTTACATTTGCTTTTTGCATTTTATACCCGAGCAAAAATAGTTGGAAGAAAATTTTTTTTACCGTTGAATAGCTCGTTCGATGTTCTACAAAACTGGCTGTTGAAACTTTCCAGCTGGATAGATACTTTTGCAGGAACTTAGAGCTTTATCACCAGTTCTCAAAATTTTGGGCCTTTTTATGTCACGCCGTTACGCACTGAAGAAGCTTTTCTGAAAGCTCGAGACTTGAACAGAAAAACTTCATGTTTTCATCATTAGTAGAGTAAAGCGAGCTGCGTCGAATGGCGCTAGAATGAGCTTTCTAGTTCTTATAGTTTTGGAGATAATTAAAGATAAGGATAAATTTGAGATGATTAAAGATAAGTGTGTGAAAAATGTCATGCCATTACTGGTTAGATCATATGTTTGAACAAGCCATGCGGATAACTCTCTAAGCGGAAAATCACTCAGCGTGGAAAACAATTTTATTTATAATCACAAAGTACAGATCAAAACTAAAATGTTTTCCACTGTTGTATAGATTCATAATCGGAATCTCTTTTATTTTAAATTTCACCGAATTTGTTAAAAAAGTTATTTACCTCATGCCTGTGTTATCAGGTTATTTTTAACTATGTGTCATACTACGATTCTTAGCACTAGAAACAAACTTTGCCAATAAATAGCTCACAGATCGATGTGCATATTTCACTATTTGAACTCGGAAAAAGCGCATTTTCGATTTTTCACCTAACATCTTCCTAGCTGCACCCGTGCACAGTATACGTTGACGAATCTTGCTTAAAATACAACTAAAAGAACCCCTTTTTTCACAAAGAATGGGACAGTTTGGAGAGAGATATCACTGATATGAACAGGCACTTTCTTCATGTTTAGAGTTGTAGACGATGTTTCGTTGTGATCTCAAGCTAGAAAAATTAGTCGAACTTTTTTTACATCCGTTACAGCTGATTATATTCTTATTTTCTCGTGCTCTAGCAATAACTCTTATAATCCCTACTTGTCAAACCATCATCGGTTTGACAGGCGAAGATATATCACGAAGCAAACATTCAGATAACCTAAAAGATAATGGTCTAACAAACGGTAAATTGATCAATAAATGGATTCACAACTGTCCGTTTATAATCTAATACTAAATAGACATATATATAACAACAGAGAAAAACACAAATCTAAATTTACACATTAAAAGAAGAACAAAACACTAGAAAGCAGATCTGATTTAATTGTTTTTTCTGATTGATTTTTTCTACAAAAACAAAATTAACATCTGAAAACAAATAAACTAGCAGAAAAAAAATTATATGAGTATCATCAACACACAAGCAATAAAACAAACAGGTTTGAAAGAAGAAAGAAAAAAATGTCATTGCTCCGCTTTTCGTTTCATCGCCTCTTGTATTCGTCGTTCTAATTCTTTAATTAACGTATCTTGATGTGTATACACACGAGTTCTCAACAAATCATCACGATGTTGAATAAGAACAGCTAATTGTTGATCTAATGATTGATCGTCATACGTCATTACATTATCAAAACCACTATTGTCTGAGGACAAAATATCATTTTGATTCCCGCTTGTGGCTGACGTTTGTTTCAATCTAAAACAGATAGTAAAAAAATAATCAGAAATAATTTTGAGTTCTCATGTTCAGTTTTCTGTTCGTACAAGATTGACTTAGTGTTTTTCGATAAAATTTGAGAATATAATAATGCGATTTATCTCGCTTGTATGATGAACAGCGTTTTCAGTACGAGTTTTGAGAGGGAGTGGAAAGTCTGCTGAGTAACTAAAGTTTTTTGATTTACGTCTATTTTAGCTAAAAATGTTTTCCAATCATGCTTGAAACTAATTGAAGACTGATATTTTTCTTATCATATTTGTTTTCAAAACAAGATTCATCAACAATATGAAGAAAACGAGATACAATTCAATTGTTTTGTAAAAAATTTCTGAGTAAGTCAAATTTTTTTTGAGTAACTTCATTCAAACGACGAGGTGGATTTCCATCTACTTCTACCACCTAATCGAAAACACTGATTATGAAAGAATAAAGCTGACATCAAAGCTGCCAAGTTTTAACAGAATCGAGATGAGCGTAAATTGATAGTGAAAAAAGTTTTAAAAATAAGATTAACTATTTACAAAATTTATTTTCATAGTTTAATTGCGTACCTGTTTAATTCATTTTTAATTTCTTCGAGTTGTTTATGATCACCTTTCATTACTTCATTCTCTTCAGCAGCCAAATATCTATTAATAAAACAAAATCAATAGATAACATTTTTTAACTTTATTTATAATAATTTACAAACCTTAATCTCATATGTTCAAGTTCTTGTTGTTGTTTTTTCAATGTTGCTTTTGATTGTTCTTGTTCACGCTGTTTAACTCGTTGAAATTCTCTCAACGCTTTTTGCCACTGTTGTTTATATCGTTCTGTCGAAACATTTGCTTGTTCTAATCGACGTTCAAGTTCATTTTTCTCTAGATTTAACATATTTATTTCAGCTTGTAATTTTACTTCTGGTACTGTTCGTTGTTTTTCTTTATATTGAAAATATTCTGCTTCTTTATCACGATAACGTTTTTCCCATTCAGCAGCCTAAATAAACATACAATTTTTTTCTGAAATAAACTAAACATAATTATTGTACACTTACTGATCGTTTTAAGCGAATGATGTCGTCTTCTAAAGCTGATGCTTTATTCCTTGAAAAAAAAACTGATATAATAGTAAAAATATTTGTAAATAGATTTGTTTCATACTTCTCCAATGTTATTTGATGATCTGATTGTTCTTGTAAACGTTTCGATGCTTCTCTCATTTCAATATGTTTAAGATCATAATCCCGCTTTAAATCAATTTGTAAACGTTGAATCTAAATGGAAAATAGAAAAAATAGAATGCTTGAATAGTCTACCAAAAATACACTCACCTCTTGCTCATTATTAGCTAACAATTTTTCACGTCTTTCAACTTCACTAACAGCTTTTTTCATTTGTTTCTCTAATTCACTATACTCTTTCATCTAAAAAAGTAACATAAAATGTTACAGTAGACTACTCTATTCAGACTTTGTTTATATTACTTTTTTCTGTAAAAGTGATTCTCGTCCACGATCTTTCTCTTTAAATGCTTCCATCAATTCATAAACTTTTTTTGCTTCGATTTCTCGTAGCTGAAAAGAAGCAAAGAAATAATCACACGTATAGAATAGATAATGTTAATCTATCATACATGTTTTTCGAATTCAAGTTCTCTAGTTTCTTTCCATAATTGTAATTCATAAGCCACTTGTACCTGTGCATTATCAGTCGGATGTTGAAATACATTATCTAAGTCAATATTCTAAAATAGAACAGATATTTGATTGTACAGAATCTATTTAAAGAACCAATGTGCGTAACCTGTTGTGGCAGCGGTGGAACAGATTGTGAACGATTTTGTTGTGCTATGGTATTCAGATGTAATGGACCTAAATCTTCCAATGAAATAGTCACTAATAATTCACCACATTTTCTAAACCAAATAGACTTTAATTAATAGAAAAAAAAGAAAATTGTCTGTTTTAAAGACAGTTGACAAAGGACAGTTGCTTCAACTAAGAATACGTTACATACTCGTTTGTTGAATTTATAATTGACAAAACTTGACTATATGTTTGTCTCCAACCAATGATTCCATTTGAATTTGAACATCGTTGTTTTTCTTGTTGTAATAATCTGTATAACTGTAATTTAACTTGTCCAAATAAATAATCTTTATTTGTTCGTGTTGATTCACCTTTATCCCTTACACATACGTCAACCTGAATAGGGTCATGTTTGAAATTTTCAATTAATTGTTGCCACATACAAGCAAAATCGAATGTACAAAATGAATGAGGTAGTTGAAGATCTTGCTGATAGCGTTCAAACAGTATTGGAGGATGAGTTAAGATCGGTTCAGATGTGCCCAAAAATGGATATTGATATTTACAGTATAAATAGAGCGGATGCGTTGTTTTGACATTACGAATGGATTTTAAATCAATTGACAGACAAAAATGATGAGAAATTGTGTCGGTACTTATCGTTGTTAATGGAGAGGTAAGTATTTGTGATGGCGATTGACGGGAATCATTGATATTAATTACATCGCCATCATTATGGAAACCGTCATTCGCTGACGATTGTAGAGCATGATTGTTAACAGATAGTAATTGAGCATGTTCTCGAATGGGAGGCTGATAGTTTTGCTTTTTCGATGAATGATGGGCACTGTCTCTGTGATGAAAAAAAAACACTTTAAGATAAGAAAAGTTATTCAAACTAATGAACGGTTTTTATCCCACTTATTATAGGTTGGTGTACTCTGGATAGATATGGACTTCATTTTAACTATAACAATGGTAACTTCAAAAAAAATTTTGAATGTGAGATGCAATTCAGAAATTTTCATCCTGTTACATTTCTTCATTAGTCACGTATCGGTCAGAGAAACTAAATAAGCATTTTCAATCATTTCAAAAATAGAATTAATGATCGTTTGGATGACACTTAGAATCGCAGAAAGTTTCATCTTTTTACGTACTTATTGACAGTAATTGTACTTGATGTTTTTGTCTGATCATGTGTTATTGACGTTAAATTTGTTTGTTCATTCTGTGGTGGTCGCTTTTGCCCTTCGCTAACTGTTCCTGTCGCTGTAGCTATTGTTATTGTTTTGCTATCATCGCCATTTTCTAATGCATTTTCTCTAGTTAATTTAACCTCAACAACAACAATTGGTCTTGTCGTTTCATCTCTCTCTTGATCTTCTTCTTGTTGCTGTTTCTCTTTTGGTTTTAGTGTTGGAGATTGTAATTTCAGAGTAAATTCTTCATTTAAAATATCAAATGCTGCTTTTTTTGTTTGCAAAGATTGTACGATTCTATGTAGAGGTATTACTGCTTTACCCAATAAATCATTCGCAGACCAAAATGAAAATTCTAAGGGTTCATGTGATTCCAGGTATGAACGTAATATTTGTTGAGTAGTACGAATACGAACACTTGCTCTTTCTGGATAAAATTTTGGGTTTAATAAGTCGTAAAATGTTTCTGATGTAATATCATTGCCAAATAGGGTGTAATAGAAGAAGAAGCCATCTGTTGTTGACAAATTGTATTGAGCTGGAACAAGCTGAATAGTGAAACAATAAAACGTTTTTGTATCCTTTAAAATTATACATCATAAGTTCGTGTTCGCAACTTACATGTATAAGATTTTTGGCAACTCTAATTGTGATAGCAAGTGAGAATATTTCGGCTTGTGGTGATTCTGGCCCAAGTAAATAGTAGCCTTGATCTTCAAGTAAGACTGGTTGCAATTTCGCTTTGGAAGATAATGAGGAGGAAGCTCCTGTGCCCGATATTGAAGCTTTTGCTACACAACAAAAATAAATAACATTGAATTTACAATTCCTTAATATATATCTTACCTACCAATTTTAGATGAAGACGTCGAACTTTTAGTTTGTCGGTCATCTTCAACATATACGCATATTCTAAATTCCGGTTTCGATTTAGGATACTTTGTTTGTAACAAGTGGTACCATCGAATTTTCTTCAATAAACAAAAAAGACACTGAAGTGAAACTACAAGATTTCTAAAACATACCTGACTGTTGTTAACTGGTCTAACATCAATAATAAAATAGCCAATATTCTCTTTATTCTCGTTACTGATACCAGGTCCATTTACCCACGTATTACACTTGAATAAGACATCAAGATTAAAACCTTCATTAAACTTGAGAAGTTTGAACAGCGCTAAGTTTTTCTCCTTACTTTGATAACACTTCGTTGTAACTTATGGTGCTGAAATGTTTTTTTGTCTAACTCCCATGCTAATTCTTGGTTCACATCTGGCACTGTTGCATGTTCGACAGGATCTGTCGTCAATATTTCACCATCAAATTTTGCTTCAACGGTTATATAATAACCATTTCGTGATGGAAAATTTCGACCTAGAATGGTACATATGAATAGTTGTACTATTGCTGTGCCTTGTATGATAGTTCGTTTTCTCTTACTGTTCTTGATTCTGTAAACAAACTTGCTTCTCGTATTATTTCTCGCAATTTTGACTATCATTCTTCTAGTTCCGTACTTGTATCTCAACTTTCTCTTCCTAAACTCTCTCTTCGTCATAAATACTTTAGACTTCTACAGTTTTTCAAAATTTATCATCGTCTAAGTCCTGTTTCTCTTTTTTATACTATTCATCGTCCTCACTACTCATCTTTACGTCTTCATCACTCTAAATATGTTCGCATTCCATCTTCTATTGATGGTTTTCCTCCGCAAACGGTGCATGCTTCTTTTTTTTATTCAACTATTGTTGATTGGAATAATCTCCCAGAGTCAGTTATTTGTCTTTCTTCTTTAACGTCTTTCAAAACAGCTTTACTTCAGTATCTCTTCCAGTGAAACATGTCAGTTATGAATTTATATTTGTTCTTTTTTTCTTATTTTGTTTTAAACACAAACATTTTTACTTTCTTTTTTTTCCTTTTTACTACTTCTGGTCCTAACGTTAGTTGTCTTGTTTATTCTGTTCTTTTTTTCGTGAATAAAACAGTCTTAGTAATAAAACGACTAGACCTTTCATCATACCTTCTAAAATTGATACAACCAAAAGTATTCTGTCCGGTTGAGGCATTAGCCACTGACTGTACTAGTTTTTAATCTAAAATATTGATCGGAAAATAGCCATGTCTTGGCAACTTTTACATATAGAGCTGGATTTTTTTCATCTTCTGATTCCAATAGAAGTCGAGCGATCTTCTACCAAAAAGTTCCTTGCTAAATTTTGTGTTACATTTAATCGGCTGTGTTCATTGTTGTGTTTATTTTACTGTTGAGAAATGAATGAACTCCCTCCGTCTCTGATTGGTTCTAACGCCTGTTTTGTCGTTTTCATTTTGCAATACATCTCCACGGATATTCCCTCAAAGTTTGAAAATACTTCAGGTAATGACTAAAATATCTATATCCTATTATTTATATACGCACGGATCACATACAGATAAACAAACGTCTCTATGAGAAGTATATCGTTTACATTCACAGTAGACGAAATCAACGGTTTTTGCTCAAGATAATAAGCATTCGAAATTTTTTCTTCAACGGAAGTCGCAACTGTCAATGTATTTTCAGTTTGTAAGCGTTAATAGTAGCAACTATCAGAGGAAAAATTATTGGATACTTATTTTAATTGTTTCTTAAGCCCATTTTGATAATTTCCGTTACATTTTTTCCACGTACAGAGAGCGACACTATGGACGATATTGATTGGCTATTTAACTATGCAACAGACAAATCATCCGAGAAGGTAGTAAGTGCGTTTATTTGAACGATGTTTGTGTTTTTCTTCTATCATATTATGTTATGAAGAATAATCAATACTTTGTAACAAACAAGTACGCAGGTAGCATTAAAATGGTGTCTTTTTCTCAAAGAGTATCACTTCTCAACCTTCGTAAATGTGATTTCCACTCTGGTCTCTATGCAAAAAAAGTTATCACTATGTTCCTTCGAGGGTTCTTCTTACGAGAAAGTTTGTTCTGAACTAGGGTGGATTCCTCTAAGTTTCAAGAAAGCTGATAATAACTTGTCTTTACTAAGAAACTTTATGCAAGTGGCCGGAATTACCCCATACGACTCTATATTCTGTTCTTCAGTTTTCAAAGAACACATTCGTATTCTTCATCATGAGCTCGACCCGCTGGACGTTATTGAGATACAATTGACTATAAACAACCACAGAGAAATTGGAAGAGAAACGAAGCTATGAACCACTTAGATACATTTAAAGGTATGAGATTAGAAGATCAGTTTGAGAAAAAGTTTATAAATCATTGCTCAGCTAAACTAAAACGAAAGGTCAAACTAAAGGTCTCATTTAAAACTGTTTTTTTCCATTCTACTCTGGAGTTTTTCGCTCCGAGTCTGTTTCAAAAGAAATGGATAAAGCCGATCTTTCAATTTTCATTTTTCCTCTTTGGTGCCAGGTGTGTTCATGTGTCTTTTGTTTTTCCAGAGTCTATTACTCTGCTAGTTTCTTGTCTTGTACCCTAAGGGGATGTGGTTGAGGCCGTTTTATTGTAATGATCTTTCTTTGTCCGTTTCATCTATTGTGTAATCTTTCTTTATACTGCTGAAATTTTTTCGTTGTTCTTTTTTCTTCTTTTGATTTTTCCACGCTGAGCTATGATTTATAAACTTTGTCTCAAACTGATCTTCTAATCTCATACCTTTAAATGTATCTAAGTGGTTCATAGCTTCGTTTCTCTTCCAATTTCTCTGTGGTTGTTTATAGTCAATTGTATCTCAATAACGTCCAGCGGGTCGAGCTCATGATGAAGAATACGAATGTGTTCTTTGAAAACTGAAGAACAGAATATAGAATCGTATGGGGTAATTCCGGCCACTTGCATAAAGTTTCTTAGTATTTTGCGCATTTCTAAGGCTTTTTAATCGGATAAGCGTGCTATTGAATATGAAGACAGAATTGACAGTTCTCCATCCGCTGATGTAAAAATCTCTTAAAAAGCCCTTTCGGTTTGCGACCAGTATTGAAAAGGAGGCAGGAACCTCCTGAGTGGTAAGAAATTACCCCATGGGGTAATTCGGATAGAGAACTGTTAGTTACATCTTTATATTCAATTGCACGCTTATCCGATTAAAGACGCTCTAGAAATACGCAGAATAGTAGGAAACTTTGTGGAAGTGGCCGGAATTACCCCATACGACTCTATGTTCTTCAGCCTATATTCACGTTTTTGTTCTTCAGAAAATTAGTTCTTCATTTTTATAAAAAACAAAAAGCGAATTCTTATTCGTAAGAGAACGTAGTTTTTATTCTTTAGCTTTCTGAAGGCGAGAATAAACATAAATCGTATTTTTATTCTTTAGATAGCAAGAATCCACAGTCTATTAAAATATTTGTTTATAAAAATGTCGGCGCAAATTGAGGAGAGGCGATGAATGCGATCAAATGGTAATAGCGACTGCCTTCTACAGACTTAAAAAAATAAGCAAACATTTTCTTTTGCGAGCTGCATGATCATCCTTAGTTTTTGTCGAAATCTTCTCTGTCAAACTATTAATTTTTGGATAATTATTCGTCTTTCAGATTCTATTCTGTCGCCGTTTTGCCTGTTTATTTTTATTTGTGCTGCAGAGAAAATTTAGAAGTAAAAGAGAGGTTCGAGATTATGAAGTGTAAGTATGTTGTTTTAGTCTTCCTGTTTGACCTTCGGGATTTGCCGATTAGCTGTTTTAGACTATAAGACCGTTCGAAGAAAATAAGATTATCAACGCATAGTGCTTTGAGATTCATTTGTCAAATGTGTCTCCTAATCTAATTTCCCTATAAAAAAAAATTCTAGTACGGCACTGCCAGTGCGCATGGCATGCCATCGGTTACTGGCACTAGCTGGCACCGGTGCGCATCCGTGCTCAGCAAGTGCCGAACCGGTGCCGACTGGCACCCGTGTGCACCAGTGCCAATATATTTCTGTCCAAAAAGTGCCACACTGGCAAAAATCTGAGTCGCATGGGTGCGCACCGAAATTTATTTAATCAATTTAATTAAGTTTATTATAATTGTTTATGCTGAATGTTGTATTAGAATGCGGCACTGATCAGTACCACATTGACATGCCAAAACCATGCGGCATTGCCTCGGCACTTCTCTTATGAGAAAGAAAAGATGAAGTCAGAAAGACATGCGAAATATTAGAAGTAGACTGTGGCGTTAATACAGACAGAAATTGACAAAACAAAATGGTGATTGAAAACAAAACTTCAGCACTGGTGCGAGATTTTTACATTCTTTATGACAGCGATGCGCATCGGTACCCAGAAAAAAAGTTATTCGGCACCGGTGCGCATCCGTGCACGACCACTGCCGATAAAATACTTTTTTGTATGGTTATTTGTTCCATCTGACGATTTTTTAAATGCACGTTTCCCAAAAAGATTCATTTACAAAAATGTTGCTCTACTCGGTTAATGCTGTCTCATTTTTCGACTTTGATTGCGTTCTAGGTGTTGCTAATTAGATATAGTCTCTGCGGGGCTAATTTCCAGAATGTTCCAGAATTAAAAAATTACAGTTAGCTTGAGAACATAGAAGGAGGTGTTTAAGACATTTATGAGATTTTTCTGTTTTCGTATGTGTTATCTATCTACCATTATTCTTAATTCTGCATACTTGTTCGTCTGCCACTTATGACATTTGTGATTTCTGCCTTTTTTTTTGTTCTCAATCCTCTCTAATCTGATGCATGTTTTTATACTAACATTTGTTCCATTCATTTACACATTTTTCTTGTATAATGCTCACAAAGTGAGCTATTTTTTAACTCTTTCTGAGATTATTTTCTCATTTATGCCGTATTATGTTTAACTAAACCGGTTTTTCTTTTCTTCTACGAAAAACTTTTCTTATTCGGAGTATTTTGTTAAATTAGATTGTTGTGTATATATGAGTTATAAGATGAAGAGAATACAGATCCGAAAAGCACAAACAGGATATTTCTCTTTTCTAAAAAAGTTTCAAGTCAATAACCTTTCTTCGAGATAAGTTTGTCTTTGAGAAAATGATGATGAAGTATTCATTAACGCTGGAAAGTTTGATCGAGATGATGCCATGGTCACACGATACTATTTGGTGCATCCACTAGTCCACATCATATACTATTGGGGTGTTGTAGAACGGTATATCCATCTGACAGTATTAATGGTAAAGTATTATTTACAAGTTTCCCTAATTATATATTTTTAGTCTAGCAATTAAAATGAGGTTGAATACTAGTGCGTAGCCACCCG